ATTTTTACACTCTTGGCTTTTCTTGATGTGTCTGAATTGTTCCATGTAACCGGGAAGCTTCCTATGCTGTTCCTAAGAACCAAGGACTTCCCTGTTCAAGGTGCTAGTTTTCTTGTTTACATTTCTCTATATGTATACAATAGAATATGCTTAGAGTCCTGGATACATTCTTCTGTGCCTGATTAAATTCAAATACTCTTTGCATCAGGTTTAACTTCCAGGTTATGCAAATAGGCTTTCAGTAAGGAGAAGCAATCACACTAAAGAAGGTTTGTTTCCCCTTTACCTATTAGGTAACTGGCCCAGTAAACTAGGAAAGAGTCAGTGTTTGCTTCACGTTTTTATCAGGCATTTGATTACTTAGGGAAACTGGACTTTTAAAAGGTTAGGATTATCACATCCATGTAAATCTGTATTCTTTTTGCAGTCTTCTAATTATCACTCTTTTTATTTAGCAGTGACGTATGGTTCTGGTTCATCAAGTCTTTGGAACCTTTAGACATCTTTGGCAGGTTTCCCCAGCATCAAAATCCTAAATTAAGTCTTTTTGATCTTGTAGAGATATTAAATGATTAGGCTTATTTGGCAAATCATATGGGACACATATCAAATAAGAAATGGTATTTAACTTATTTTAAGTTATAGTTCTATAAATATTTTACTGATGTGTGTTCCAAATTGCATGAGATTCTGAAAATTCCTAAATGCCATAGATATGCTTTAGATCTGTGTCTCCACCCAGATCTCATGTTGAAATTGTAAAGCTCAGGGTTGCTGATGCAGCCTGGTGGGAAGTGACTGGATCGTGGGAGCAGGTCCTCATGAATGGCTTGCTACCAACCACTTGGTACTGTCCGCGGGATACTGAGTTCTTGTGAGATCTCATTGTTTAAAAGTGTGTGGCAGCTCCTCTGCCCCAACATCTTTCTCTCTTGCTCCTGCTCTGGCCGTGTGAGACATCTTCTCCCACTTTGCCTTCTATGATGCTTTTAAGTTTCCTGAGGCCTCCCCAGAAGCCAAGCAGATGCCAGCATCATGCTTCCTGTACAGCCTGCATAACCGTGAGCCAATTAAACCTCTTTTCCTTATAAATGACCCATTCTTTATAGCAATGAAAGAATTGACTAATATATAATAATAGGTATTATCAGTCGTGAGTATGATAATTGTGTTAAATGGTCGTATGCACAGAAATACCTATATTTACTTGCAATTATTTCTACATTCTTTCTTACAATTTCCTTGTAAACTCTCATCAGAGTTTTGATCATGGCTGTTCTAGATTTTTCACATCCATAATTACTGTTTTACATTCTTTTCTAGTAGCATTTGCAATCAGCTATAGCCCAAAATTACTAATTAAGATTAAGAAAATCAAAATTAATTACTTGAAATTAAATAATTGATGAGGATAATTTTATGATTTTTATTTAAAATGTTGGTTCTCCACTTAAATGTTTTGTTTTTCAGATTCAAGGACATTTCCTTTCATAAGCTATAGTTTGCAATAATTTGGTGAAGAATACTTTTGTGAACACGAGTGGAAGCATTTGCCTTTCCCCCCACTTGAATCCTCTAGAATGACACTATTTGTCAGCATTCTTATTTTATTTCTGTAAGTTCAGTAAAAAATCTGCTCTCTTTTATAAGCAGGATACTGTTGGAAATACTGATTATATTACTAGGCTTTGGCTGAAAAGTCATATTTAAGAAGGTTCATAAAATGCCTGGCTTCAAGAGTTCCAAGCTTTAGAGTGAATGCATAAAACTTGTCACTTCCCAGTAGGCCCAAGGACCTTAAGACCCTAAGGTAAGTAAAATCTAAATTCTACCTTCATTTGGCTTCCTGGTCTCTAGAGGTTCTAAAACCTGAAAGTTTCTGTATGATTAATGTGGAGAGAAAAAGTCATGTTCTTAAGGAAAACTAAAGTGCACCTATTAATAGGTTAAAGACCTGTGCACTGATTTCAAGCACTGGTTTTCTACCTGTAGATGGGACTGGATCCTGAGTGCTCCTGATTTCCTATAACATCTGGCTGCAATTAAATCCTGATAAAGTTTCCCAGCCCTTTTCCCTCAAGCAAAACCATAGAGCCTCTTGAGACATTTCCCCTACTCAAATTACTCAACTAGGGGAATCAGGTATTAAGATGGAAAAAACTCATCAGAGCTCTGGTCAACACTGCAGCGACTCTGTCTGTCCTTGACCACAGCATGCTTTTCATGGAGCCTCCTTGGAGTTCTGAATTCATCCTGATGGTCGGGGCGGCCAGCCCACCTATGATGCTTCCTACTCTTTCTGTTATTTTCCAACGAGGACCCTTCAGTGGCAGTTGTTTTTCCTTTGGGCTTTCACATACTTCCTAGGACAGAAGTTCTTAGAAACATGCCAGGCCCATATTTTATTATCCTAGAAAGAAGAAATGATGCTTGAGTTATCCTCACCAAGATATTTTGCCACAGAAATACCTTTTATCCAAATTCCCATCTATTCAGTTAGCTCCACCAACACTACCTACCCTGGTCTCTAAGAGCTACAATCCAACACTCATGATAACCCCTCAGATTATAAAGATAATAGTTGTGGATACTCTCAAGGCTATAATTCATCTAGAAGGGTTAACCCTAGTGAAGGAGCTAGATTAGGAAGGTTTCTTGGATCCCAATTTAAACTAGATTCTGCTCCGAATTAATAAATGATCAGAAAACCTTCCTGAACTGTTCAAAGAATTGCCTGCTCCACCACCCAAGCTATTAGGGTGCAGCAGAGGTCCATAGACTCCCTTGCTCATGTAGCCCTAGACAAACACATTGCTTTAGACGATCTCATTCCTACACGGAGTGAAGTTTGTGCTGTTGCTACCACTTTCTGCAGGGCAAACACTTCCAGGCAGGTTGAATTGGAAACATCTAAGATCTTAAGGCTAGCCAAATCTCCGGAGGAAAAAAAGAACTTCAAAAAGACTCCTGACTGGACTTACCAGGTTGAGTTTCTGATTTCCAGATATTTCCACCTCGATTCCCCTGTAGTAGGGTTCCTTCTGCGTGCCACCCTACAAGTCTTGATACTCCTCATGTTTGAGCTAAGTATTTGGCTCCTCTTTAAGATTTTCCCAGCCTATTTCCCTGCCTGCAATAGATCCCCATTAGGATTGTGCTGACCTAACCCTTGAGACTTGAAAATTGCTCCAGCCAGAAAGGAGAACCAACTTAACCCAAAAGAGTTTGATTCAAATTTAACAGGTACGTGTATGCCTCTCATAAGTAAATGGCTGTAGTTGCTCAGTTGGCCAGTGCCCTGCCACTAGGGTCCCGGTGCAGGACTAGATACACCCAGAGAAGACAGCCAACCAATCTAGCACCATGACAGACCAAAACCAGCCTAACCTATCATCAACACTATCTGCCTAAAGGTTTTCATCCAGATGGGGGAAATGTGAACAAATGTGAACCAGAATGAACCATTTCTTCAAAATGAATCTGAGTGACTAACTGAGCTGATATTTACAATAGAGCCAAGTAGCTCTTTGCTGACTAGAGGTCACACATGGACTCCAAATTCCCCCAAAACCTGCACCTTTGAACTTTGGAGTATTCAGACCTCACCTGAATCAACCAGTCAGGGCTGGGCTGTATCCAGCAATGAGGATATGTCTGTGTTGGCCAATCAGAACTCAGCTGCATTGAGCAATCAGAACTAAACAACTTGTTAACATAAACATAAACCTACCTGCCTGGGAAATTTCGCTATAAAGCTGCGATCTTCCCTTTATTCTCTGGAAGGCACCTTCATTTTATATCAAAGGCTGTGTCTCCCCAGTTTGCAAACTGTTCATTGGAATAAAGTCTCTTTCCTCCTAATTGGTTTTTAAAGAACTTTTATTCACAGTCTGAAGAACAAATGTGTAGGTTTCAGTTGTCTGTGGAGGCCCTCGGTTGGCATTTATGGTTATAAAATCTGTACTTGTGGCATGAAGTCATCTCCCTTGTATCATTCAATATGTTTCAAAGAAAGTCTACCACTCCTGAATGCTCCACTTAGATGGGGGGGGAGGGGGAAGAGAACCAATGAAGGAAAAAGCATATGTTAAAAGAATACCAGCATAACTGTTGAATATTATGACCTCAGTGGCAGCAGGGACTTTGACTTACTTATTTCCTCTATATTTTGGTTATATTTATTGCTTTTATCTGATACATAGGAGACTCTCAATAAATATGTGGAAGGAAGGGAAGAAAAGAAGTAAAGAAAGCATGTCTGAATAAATAAATAATGAATGAATGAAATAATAAGTGAATTTTAAAAAACTGAACGAAATAGTATAGATCTAGGAAGCAATAATAAAATCGTGTGATGATAATAAGCAGTGACTGAGCAGTGTTGCAAGTGCTTAAATCCCAGCGCCAATCTTTTCTCCTGTGTGATGTAAGTTTCGTCCTCTGTAAACTAAGGTAGTACATGTAAAGTATAAGACAATGCCTGACACACAATAATGTAGTCCTGCGAGATATTTCTCATATGAGGCTGCTTACTATGCTTTATATTACTTATTCTTTATCAGGGCTAGTGTAAGTTAGAGATTCTTGTCTGTATTTTCCAGATGTACTTGCAAGATCAAGTGAGTAAAGACATTTATCCAAAATTATACAATATTGGCAGGTAGGAACCTGCCTGGTTGAACCAGGTAGGATTCAACCCTTACAATATTTTGCTTCAGAAAGCCTGTGGGGGGGACCCTCTGTGCTACCTAACATTGATTTGAAATATAAACTGACTTAGTTCTCACTTCTTCATAAGCATATGATCATGACCTAGGAAAAAGGATTTTTCAATTGGGTAAGACCATGGTATGAGAGTTTAAGAAACTCTGGGCTGAGATTTCAAGGACCTGAGACATACCTACCGTTGCATATTTGGTAATCATTAAGCATGCAGTTTTGCAGATGTTAAATTAAATATGCTTAATGTTTTCTTTGAAGTAAAATAAGTCATTTATTTTCTATTCAGAATATGATAGTATCCGAATAACAAGAATAATCTGTTTCTATTCAGAATAGGACACTATCAGAATAACAAATTAGGGTTAGAATAGCTGAACACTTAAAGTTTGCCAGACACTGTTTGGTGAGTTCTTCACAAAAATAAGCATTTTCACTCTGCACAAAAATCGCATGAGATATATGGTTTTGCTGATGAAGAAATGGAAATCCAGAAACATAAAGTCGCTTATTCAAAGTCACCCAGCCGCATTGTGGCTGTAGCAGTTCAGCTACTGGGACTCTTCCAACTTTCTACAGGTGTCACGAAAGCACAAGATTACATGTTTACACACAATTCTTATGAAACAGCACTAAAAGGAAGGTTTCAGTAAAAAGGTAAACAAGGTTTTCAAGAAAATGGTAAAGATACATAAATGATGAGCCACAGTAATTCTCACCAATTAGGAAGCATCTTAGAAAAGCATTGGATTTCCTCTAACTAAAAGCATCTATCAAAAGTGATATTGAAATACAGGAGTATGTAAATATCTAAAATTTAACACTGTCACCTTGCATAAATGAGGCTGAATAGCTAATGAAGTAAAGACCTAACTTCAGTTTGGTTCCATGCCTTTTCACTGACATCTGAAAAGGGTCTTGAGGTGAGTGATCATGGACTCATCCTCCACCAGCCAATCAGTCTGTTTATTATCTGGCTTTAAAAAGAAACTCCAACCAGGTGCCGTGGCTCATGCCTGTAATCCCAGCACTTGGGAGGCCAAGCCGGGCAGATCACAATCTCAGGAGTTCAAGACCAGCCTGGCCAACATGGTGAAACCCCAACTCTACTAAAAAAAAAAAATACAAAAAATTAGGTGGGGGTGGTGGCACACACCTGTAATCCCAGCTACTCAGGAGGTGAGGCTGAGTGGGAAATTTCGCTAGTGGGAGAATTGCTTGAACCCAGGAGGCAGAGGTTGCAGTGAGCCAAGATCATGCCATTGCACTCCAGCCTGGGCGACAGAGCAAGACTATATCTTGAGAAAAAAAAAAAAAAGAAACTTTTTCTGAGGGCCCACCCATGATGGAGCAAAAGCTGTTACTTGGCTATGTCAAGAGAAAATAATGCAACAAGTACAAAGCCCGTTGATCAGTGCACCTGTGTCTCTCTGTTGGACAGAGAGTTAGATATTCATAGAGATTGCTGTCCTCATCTGTAACTACATCAAGCTAGAGAGACTGTCATAATACTAGTGGACTGAGGCAGCTGTGAGTAGAGAAAGCAATACCGGTCCCCATCTCTACTCTTCAGTCTTGGCCCTGTTTCAACTTTCACTTTCACACATGGCAAAATCGAAACTAACTCAGCTGAGTGTTAGTCGAAGTAGGTGTGTCCTGCTCCCCGATGACAGGTTGCTCAGAGACTGCTGATTTCCACCCCTATATAAAGCAAGTCCCCGGCATGCAGGGACCACTCTGCTCCAGGCATCTGCCACCATGTGGGTGCTCACGCCTGCTGCTTTTGCTGGGAAGCTACTGAGTGTGTTTAGCCTCCCTTTGAACTCTCTGTGGAGGAGCCTGGTCCTGCTGTCCTGTTGGTTGAGGGCAACATTCTGGCTGCCAGGGACCAAGAGGACAAAGAAGCAGCTGGTCCCAAGAGAGCCAGACAAGACCGAAGAGGAAGAAGAGGACCCCCCTCTGCCCACCACCCCTACCAGCGTCAACTACCACTTCACTCGCCAGTGCAACTACAGATGTGGCTTCTGTTTCCACACGGCCAAAACGTCCTTTGTGCTGCCCCTTGAGGAAGCAAAGAGAGGACTGCTCTTGCTCAAGGAAGCCGGTGAGTCCCTGGTCCCAGGCAGAAATCAGGATTCTCAACCACCAGACAGTGGGGTAAGGTGAGGAGGTACTGGGGGCACCCAAGCTGGAGAGCTTCTCCAGAACTCAAGCTCACCATTTGCCATTGACAACAGCAGTATGCTGTCCTGTGAGAAAATAATTCAGTGAATTTTGGAGCGGGTCCTTCCTAAATCACAGAGTTGGCCCGGAGTGGGGGATTGGTGGAGCAAACCTGTCCTTCCTATCTCTTGGAAGCAAGCAGAGGTCTATGCAAAGGGCAGGTCCCTGTCACACTCAGTGTTTGGAAAGAGGCAGTTTGGGAAGACTCCATCACTTTCTGAGTTCACCCACAACACTAACAAATTTGGGTCTTTCAGAAGCAGTTATTAGTAATTAGGAAAGTTGGAAACAAAAACAAAAACTTTGACATAAAAATAGCAATAGTTGAACCTTATATTTGAGTTTGTATATGTTCTTTTAATAGGAAATCTTAAAATTGTTTTAACAAATATGTCAAAGACTTAGCTCTAAGGAATGCTTACTGAGCATCACCACATTAATAACTTGCAGCGTCTCGGAGATAACTCAGTACGTGACCTTCAAATGCAACATCTTCCACTCCAGATCTCTTCTTCCTCCCGTCCTTGTTTTTCTGTGTTTCATCGAGTACCTTCTCAGCTAGGACCTTCAGCAGCATCTCTAGCTTGTTTAACTTTTTAATGAAAGCATAGCATGCATGCATCAGATTACACATATTCAGGGCGTACATCTTGATGAATTTCACAAAGCAATCACAGCGAGGTAAGTAGCCTGCATATCCAGAGAGAAAGCATCCCCAGCCCCCAAAAGTTCATGCTGCACTCTAGCCACTTCCCTGGTCCTCAAAGGTAGGCACTTGCTGGACTTCTAACTCACAGATTCATTTTGCCTGTCCTGTTCTTTATATAAATGGAATCATACAGTGTGCACTATGTTGAATCTCACTTCTTTCCTCCTCGTTACATTGGCTTAGCCCCCCAAAGCTGATTGCTCAAGTGAGAACCTGACTTCCCATTCTCAGTGTGACTTAACCCAAATTCCTGTCATTTTTCACTGTGATGATTATAATTCAACTCACTGCCTCTGCTCACCCCACTGAAAACTCCTGCTTTTATTTTAAAGTGCAGTTTTGGTGATTTAACTCCCCACCTAACTCTCCTACTTAGGAGCATCATTGTCAAGGCCCATGGCAAGCTCAGTGTTGCTCTCAGCATCCACTACCCTGATGGCTTGGGTTCTCTCTGCTGTAGACACAGCCTTTCACACTCATTTTCTTCAAACACCATAATCATTAAGAGTGGTCATATTGTTGTCTCTTCCTAGAATGTTGGTCCTCAAATCCATGTTGGTGAACTTTCAAAGCTCCTTTGAATTCTTGGTCCTCTGTGGCCATAATTATGCCCTTTACTTTTCATTTGTGACCTCGTAGCACTTACTGCAAAGGTGCCTTGCAGCTTCTATAAATGTACTATTTTGTTCAGTTTTGTTTTTAATGTCTGGGTTCTCAAAGAAATTACGCTCCAAGGTTGAATTTGACTCTCCTATGTATCTTCATGCCTGGCAGAGTGCCTAGAATGTTATAGAGCCTTAAGAAATGTTTTTAGATAAACGAATGGATATAAGGAGATAGTTTGAATGAAATTACAGCTTTCATTCAGAAGGCCAGGGTTGGAGTTTCTGCTCTAACATTTACTAGACTTGTCAAGACATTTAATTTTCCTGAGTATCAGTTCCATGATCTTAAAATTATCATTAGATAAAAATGATAACTGATGAACCAATCTCAAAAGTTGGTGCAAGGCAGAAATAAGTGAATGTTCATGTATTAATAACATGATAACCTATTAATAATTATAATTAATACTTTTATATAATAACCTCTTGGTTTAAGTAAGTAAAAGCAAAGTTGATTGAAATGCTTACAGGATAGTGTAGGTTGTATTTTCCTGTAAGAGAGATTTCTAAATAATGAAGGAAAAGAGATTTTTGTGGTTGTAAGCCTTAAAGAAAGAGGAAAAAAACACAGAAGGTGGCCCTGCAGGCAAGGACAGGTTTATTTTAGATAAAACAATCATGAGAGGGGCTTCTGGCCAAGTTAGGTCAGAGCCCACACTCTTACGGACTTTTTAAAGATTTAGAGTGGGAGAGTTTATTAGAAGGTTACACTGCTTCTGTGTTTCTTTGTTATGCTTATCTGGGAGAGGGAGTTGTGTGTCTGTTTCCATACATCTTCCTGCAGCTGCTGGCATACCCACCCTGAGTCTGCTTTTAGCTTCCCTATCCGTCCACCTGAAGGGAAAGGAATGTCCTTATTAAGGCTCACTGCTTCACTGGGTCCCTTTATATGAGGGTGAAGTTTGGCAGGTACCCAAGAGACCTCCCCCCCCAACCTCCCTCCGTGCCTAAGCTGTCTTGTCTGTGTTTTACTGCCTGTTCTTTCTGGCTTCTTGCAGCTAGAAGTGATTTTCTTGAAATGCGTGAGGCTAGAAAGGGTGCTGGAACTTAACGTGGTAGTGTTTGTCACGAGATGATAGTGCTCCTGCTCTATCAGTGGTAATTAAAGGTTTGAAATTACATTAAAATTTGAATTTTAATATATATTTTATACATTATATTTAAAATTAAAATGTACTGTTCTAGCTAAAGACACTTCTACAATATATTATTTACTTTCCTGGCTTTTAAACGGCTTTGAAATTCTGTTCAGAATAGAATTTAAAACAATGAGCATCAGATCTGGGCTGTAATGTGATCACTCGTGTATGTTAACACCATTGTCAATCAATTCCTCTTTGTCTAAGATCTTAACTGTGCCTCTAAGTTCTATTCCTTCCATTTTCTTCTTCCGTCCCTTTTAAATATACTCCTCAAAATTGTTAGCAGTTCTTTGCCACTGGCCAGTACCCTGTCTTACGTTCTCCAGCTTATCTGCTGCTTCATCACCACACTTATTAGGTAACTATGTTTTGTTTTGTTTTGATATCAGATTATAATAAATGTCACTTAAGCAGCCTCCCAGCATGATGGATTATAAATAGGGAGGTGATATAATGTCTCACTGTCCAGTCATTGACACATCTGAGAGTGTAAGGGGGCACTAAAACTAACTCACAGATACTGTTTTGTCTACCATAAACCAAAACTGTTCCAGGCACACCAGGATGGAGGCTCCTCTACTTATAAAGACTCAAGGCTTTGGAGCCTAGGCATGTACCCTGGCTCCACTTTTCTCTAGCTTTGTGATCTTGACCAAGTTGTTGAACCTTTCTCGGCTTCAATTCTTGCACCAAATACCAGATAATAAATAATTCCTTCCCATGGGTTATTTAAGGATTGAAAGTTTTAACCGTATTACCTTGGGTGGTATATGGTGAGGCCAGATACAGAATAAGAGAGACCAGAAAGAGCTTTGCAGCTTTGTGACTCCCAATGCCTTGGGGAGTGCACCATGGGCCCTCCAGGACCACATGGGAAGCACCAGGTTAGTCATCAGGCAGGGGGAGATGGGGATTACAGAATAAACCCATAGGATAGTTTCCACAGGAGCAAATGGGTGAGGCAGGGCCAGCAGGCTTGGCATGGGCTGGTTTGGATAATTTCAACGAGCCCTGAAGCATAGGTCCTGTCCCTGGTTTTCTGGTACCAGGCCCTGGGATGATTAGAGTGGTGAAGAGTGGCCCAGGGTGTTAGTCTAGACAAAGTAGTCAGAGGGTCAACTTAATTGGCTGCTCAAGAAGAGGAACTGACTGGCTTCTAGCCAGGGCCTCAACACTAAGTCAAGACGGCATTTCAGAAGATATATGGCAGTGAGACTGTACATGTTAAACTGCAAAGCATGGTGTTCAGCACTTAGTAGGTGCAAAGTTTGAAAGGATAGGCTCATGAATAATGTTCTTGTGGTTCTGCTGCCCTAGCTGGTATTCCTAGTTATTTTATTCCCATGACCAAATCTATTTGAGATGTTTACTGGGTCTAACACTTACTTCTTTGGTTTCTGATTCTAATGTCTGCTTTTTTTTTTTTTTTGAGATGGACTCTCACTCTGTCACCCAGGCTGGAGTGCAGTGGCAGGATTTTGGGTCACTGCAACCTCCGCCTCCCGGGTGCAAACAATTATTCCACTTCAGCCTTCCAAGTAGCTGGGTTTACAGGTACCCACCACCATACCGGGCTAACTTTTTTTCATTTTTAGTAGAGATGGGTTAGCCAGGCTGGTCTAGAACTCCTGGCCTCAGCTGATCCTCTCACCTCGGCCTCCCAAAGTGCTGGGATTACAGGCATGAGCCACCGTGCCTGACCTGCTTCCACTTCTGTGACTTGTCACCTTCTTCCTTTTCTTCTCCACGTTTTAAACCAACAGCTGCTCTCCTCTAATCTAAGCACATTGTTTTACAATTGGTTTCAACACAGCCAGAGTTCTGTGAAGTGGACATTGAAAACTTCATCTGGTGGGAAAAGTTGCTCACTCGTGAAAGGCTCATTCTGGAAATCACCTACTATGATGTGGCCATAACACAGATCAGCTAACAAGTATTCAGTGAACTGGATTGAATGGAATAGAATTAGAAATGAACCTCATCATGATAATATCACTGTATAAACATCTGAATTTCAAGATATTCTGGGCCTTGTAGTTGATTGTGGCATATTTATCTTCATTTCCTCCAACTTCTCCTCCACTGCATTAAAATTACAGTAAAAGAATTAAAAGAAGGAGAATAAAATCACAAAGAAATCAACATATAGTTGTAAGCAATTCATGGCATGAAACAGTTTCTGCATGTGTCTTCAGGGAGATGGCAATAGGAAACTCACCAGATTGCTGCAGAGAACACAGAGAGTTTCAGAAACTGGTCCCATCATTTGATATGGAAGGTTGGTGTGAGGCAGGAATGAGGTACTTTTTTATTACTTTATACTTTTCCCATGCCCCCTCCCCAGTTCCTGCAGATGACAGAGGCTTTTTTTCTGAAGGATCTGGTTTCCAAGGGCTGAGCACTCAGGGATAGTAGCTGCAGTGAAGAATAGAAACCACCCACTGAAAACAACAGAAGTAAGAGCAAGTCTGCCCAGCAGGTAGGGAGGCCCCATCTTCCTAGAATGCAGACAGGCAGGTCAATGACGCAAAGGCCCATCCTCCTAGGATGCAGGCAGACAGGTGTGTAAAGCACAGGCCCATCCTCCTAGAATGTAGACAGGCAGGTGTATGACGCACAGGCCTATCCTCCTAGAATGCAGGCAGGCAGGGGTGTAATGCATAGACCCCATCCTCCTAGAATGCAGGCAGGCAGGTGTGTAATGCATAGACCCCATCCTCCTAGAATGCAGGCAGGTGGGTGTGTAACGAATACACCCATCCTTCTAGAATGCAGGCAGGCGAGTGTGTAATGCATAGACCCCATCCTCCTAGAATGCAGGCAGGCGGGTGTGTAATGCATAGACCCCATCCTCCTAGAATGCAGGCAGGCGGGTGTATAATGCATAGACCCCATCCTCCTAGAATGCAGGCAGGCGGGTGTGTAATGCATAGACCCCATCCTCCTAGAATGCAGGCAGGCGGGTGTGTAATGCATAGACCCCATCCTCCTAGAATGCAGGCAGGCGAGTGTGTAATGCATAGACCCCATCCTCCTAGAATGCAGGCAGGCGGGTGTGTAATGCATAGACCCCATCCTCCTAGAATGCAGGCAGGCAGGTGTGTAACGAATACACCCATCCTCCTAGAATGCAAGCAGGCGGGTGTGTAATGCATAGACCCCATCCTCCTAGAATGTAGACAGGCAGGTGTATGACGCACAGGCCTATCCTCCTAGAATGCAGGCAGGCAGGGGTGTAATGCATAGACCCCATCCTCCTAGAATGCAGGCAGGCAGGTGTGTAATGCATAGACCCCATCCTCCTAGAATGCAGGCAGGTGGGTGTGTAACGAATACACCCATCCTTCTAGAATGCAGGCAGGCGAGTGTGTAATGCATAGACCCCATCCTCCTAGAATGCAGGCAGGCGGGTGTGTAATGCATAGACCCCATCCTCCTAGAATGCAGGCAGGCGGGTGTATAATGCATAGACCCCATCCTCCTAGAATGCAGGCAGGCGGGTGTGTAATGCATAGACCCCATCCTCCTAGAATGCAGGCAGGCGGGTGTGTAATGCATAGACCCCATCCTCCTAGAATGCAGGCAGGCGGGTGTGTAATGCATAGACCCCATCCTCCTAGAATGCAGGCAGGCGGGTGTGTAATGCATAGACCCCATCCTCCTAGAATGCAGGCAGGCAGGTGTGTAACGAATACACCCATCCTCCTAGAATGCAAGCAGGCGGGTGTGTAATGCATAGACCCCATCCTCCTAGAATGTAGACAGGCAGGTGTATGACGCACAGGCCTATCCTCCTAGAATGCAGGCAGGCAGGGGTGTAATGCATAGACCCCATCCTCCTAGAATGCAGGCAGGCAGGTGTGTAATGCATAGACCCCATCCTCCTAGAATGCAGGCAGGTGGGTGTGTAACGAATACATCCATCCTTCTAGAATGCAGGCAGGCGAGTGTGTAATGCATAGACCCCATCCTCCTAGAATGCAGGCAGGCGGGTGTGTAATGCATAGACCCCATCCTCCTAGAATGCAGGCAGGCGGGTGTATAATGCATAGACCCCATCCTCCTAGAATGCAGGCAGGCGGGTGTGTAATGCATAGACCCCATCCTCCTAGAATGCAGGCAGGCGGGTGTGTAATGCATAGACCCCATCCTCCTAGAATGCAGGCAGGCGGGTGTGTAATGCATAGACCCCATCCTCCTAGAATGCAGGCAGGCGGGTGTGTAATGCATAGACCCCATCCTCCTAGAATGCAGGAAGGCAGGTGTGTAACGAATACACCCATCCTCCTAGAATGCAGGCAGGCGGGTGTATAATGCATAGACCCCATCCTCCTAGAATGCAGGCAGGCAGGTGTGTAACGAATACACCCATCCTCCTAGAATGCAGGCAGGCGGGTGTGTAATGCATAGACCCCATCCTCCTAGAATGCAGGCAGGCGGGTGTATAATGCATAGACCCCATCCTCCTAGAATGCAGGCAGGCGGGTGTGTAATGCATAGACCCCATCCTCCTAGAATGCAGGCAGGCGGGTGTGTAATGCATAGACCCCATCCTCCTAGAATGCAGGCAGGCGGGTGTGTAACGAATACACCCATCCTTCTAGAATGCAGGCAGGCGGGTGTGTAATGCATAGACCCCATCCTCCTAGAATGCAGGCAGGCAGGTGTGTAACGAATACACCCATCCTCCTAGAATGCAGGCAGGCGGGTGTGTAATGCATAGACCCCATCCTCCTAGAATGCAGGCAGGCGGGTGTATAATGCATAGACCCCATCCTCCTAGAATGCAGGCAGGCGGGTGTGTAATGCATAGACCCCATCCTCCTAGAATGCAGGCAGGCAGGTGTGTAACGAATACACCCATCCTTCTAGAATGCAGGCAGGCGAGTGTGTAATGCATAGACCCCATCCTCCTAGAATGCAGGCAGGCGGGTGTGTAACGAATACACCCATCCTTCTAGAATGCAGGCAGGCGGGTGTGTAATGCATAGACCCCATCCTCCTAGAATGCAGGCAGGCGGGTGTGTGATGCATAGACCCATCCTCCTAGAATTCAGGAAGGCAGGTGTATAACACATGCAAGAGACAGATATTCTTCTCTGAGGAAACAAGATGACTCCTGAGTAAAGAGCAAGGATATTAGCGTTTGGAGGTTTTCCAGTGAATAAGCCAGTTTACCTCTCTGTCTCTCCATAGTAAAACCCTCCTTTGGACCAGCCCCTCCCTTCATCACAAAATTCCATTCAGCTATTTTGCACCACACTGAAATTTGAATGAATGAACAAAAACATCAAAAGAAAAGACAGATATCAAAACAAATGCACAGAGAGGATGTAGAAAGAAGAAAACTTCCAAAAAAATCTATAGCTGGTAATTACAGAGAGATAAAAGAAAGAATTGCATATGTGAAACAAGAATAGAATGCCAAGAAAGGAATAGTCGGAATATGGAAGCATCTCGGGAGCTGAAAGTGGGGTTTCTAAGATTACAATTTTAATAGACAAAAAGGTAAAGTCTTACCAAAATGAGACCAAAAAAACAGGATAGAGTAGGAAGGAAAATGGTAAGAAAATAGTGGTTCAATTTAGACACTCCAATATTCTAGTAATAGAAGTTCCAGAAAAAGTAAAACGTAAAAATTGAGACAAGGTGCGAACAATCAAATAATATGAGATTTTTTTTTTTATTACATAAAGAGCTGTGATTTTAGATTGAGGCCTTCCAGGTGGCCAGATGGTGACTAAAGAGAGATTTTTAGGACACCCTGACTTGAAATTTCAAAACGTTAGGAAGAAAGCTTCTGGAGAGTAGAGAAAGTCATGCACTTACAAAGGATTACAATGACGGTGTTCTCAGGCCTCTGAACAAGAACACTTAAAACTGAGCAAGTTTGCTGAGAACGATGGTTTCCAGATTTATCCATTTCCCTACAAAGGACACACACCCATCATTTTTTATTGCTGCATAGTATTCTATCCCACATTTTCCTTGTCCAGTCTATCATCGATGGGCATTTGGGTTGGTTCCAGGTCTTTGCTATTGTAAACAGTGCCACAATGAACATACATGTGCATGTGTCTTTATAATAGAATGATTTATAGTCTTTTGGATATATAGCCAGTAATGGGATTGCTGGGTCAAGTGGAATTTCTTTTCCTAGGTCCTTGAGTGATCACCACACTGTCTTCCACAATGGTTGAACTAATTTACACTCCCACCAACAGTGTAAAAGTGTTCCTATTTTTCCACATCCTCTCCAGCATCTGTTATCTCCAGATTTTGTTAATTGCATTTTAGGTTTTGGGGTGCATGTGAAGAACATGCAAGATTGTTGCATAGGTACACATGTGGCAATGCAATTTGCTGCCTTCCTCCCCATCACCTATATCTGGCATTTCTCCCCATGACATCTCTCCCCAACTCCCCACGACCCACTGTCCCTCCCCTATTTCCCCCCAACAGACCCCAGTGTGTGACATAAGAAGAGAAAATCAAACCACATGTTCTCACTCATGGGCGGGTATTGAACAATGAGAACACATGGGCACAGGGAGGGGAGCATCACACACTGGGGTCTGTTGCGGGGGAATGGGGAGGAACAGTGGAGGTAGGGAGGATGGGAGGGATAACATGGGGAGAAATGCCAGATGTAGGTGACGGGAGGGTTGGAGTCAGCAAACCACGTTGCCATGTATGTACCTATGCAATAATTCTGCACGTTCTGCACATGTACCCCAGAACCTAAAGTGCAATAAAATGTATAAAACAAATTTTAAAAACTGAGTAAAAATGATTTCACCTAGAATGTGACACCTGGCCAAACATTTGGTCACCAGTGCGTTTTGAGGTATACAAGTCTCCACTTTAATTCCTATTTTACATTTTTTCCAGGAAGCTTGTAAAGGAATTTTCCAAAATAAGGGAGTAACCCCAAGAGAGAGGGGGACGCAGCGTCCAGGACAAGGAGTAGGGTGGGAAACGCCGAGTGAGGAGGAGTGTCATTCTCAGGCTGGCAGCTGGCCCATGGACAGTCAGTCCACATGGCAGGCGGGTGGGGGGCATGTGGCTTTCTGCTTTGCAAATCCCTGTGTTGCCTCATTGTACCCTTTGGTGTCTGAGCAATTCTATTCATCTGTGTAACCAATTCCCTGCATCCCTGTTTACACCCTGAATTAAACACATGCTATTCCCGTTGGGTAGCATTGGTGTTGGGAACTAGGGTTGGGGGAGGAAAGATAATGAGAAGGTTTTATTTCATCTTTTTTACATTGAGAAAATATTATTTTGCTATTAAAAAATATATATGTATATTTGTTAAGTGGTAAAATTGATGTATCACCTCGCACAGGTATGGAGAAGATCAACTTTTCAGGCGGAGAGCCATTTATTCATGACCGGGGAGAATACCTGGGCAAGCTGGTGGAGTTCTGCAAAGCAGAGCTGCAGCTGCCCAGCGTGAGCATCGTGAGCAACGGAAGCCTGATCCGGGAGAAGTGGTTCCAGAATTATGGTGCGCTTCATGGGATGGCCCTCTCCTTATTGCTATTGTTATCATCGGTTCTTGTATTTCTTTCCATCCTGGGCCTTCAGCCAGACCTGCTGAGGAACTGGAAGGGAAGAAAAACCAATCTTGCTTACTCTAATCGCTTTTCGAGCTGTGCCTGGCCTTATGGCAGTTTTAGTTCCATAGGGCTCTCAGTACACAAGTTTGGCAAGTTAGATAATAGACCTCATTACTGAGATGACTATCTTGTACATGCAATTTAGCAAATATAAGACCTCTGGCCACAGTTGAGACACCAGCAGGGAAAGTTGACACATTTGACAACTTTGTAATAAAATATCTCTGTTGGGACTGGGCTGGATCCATGACTAATTGTATCAGAATCTCCTGGTGTGTGGATTGGCCAATGTGGGGGGCTCAAAGGGAATTCACCGTGTAGCCAGGATTAAGAACTCTGAGTTCTAAGGCTGCTGACGTTCCTCGCAGTTCAGTTTTCTGCAGATGTCATGTCCATATAGCAGTACTTGAAACTTAGGAAAGACTTGGAAAACATTAGCTCTTCTTATATGTGCTGTCATGTTGGGGAACAGGTAGCCAGTTATGGTACAATTGTCTGTTCTTTTTTTGTATGAGCTGTTCGAGCCTTGAAATCATTCGAAGAGAAGCTGCATTTGTAATCTCTTGAGGATGTTGCTGAGACATCTTTGATACCTCCTCTGAGATGGTGCAGACATGGACTGTGGGGGAGGAACGCTGTGGATGTGGGTTGAAGGGTCCATCTGATAAGGGTGAATCAGGAAGAGAAGAGCAAAGGTGTCAGGTGCAGGTGAATTAGGAAGGGCCCACAAGGCAGTGTGTAAAATCAAAACGGTAGTGAAGGGCGGCACTTTGTCACACAGCGGGTCTGAGGTTCAAAAGTGATCTTTGGGAACCATCCTCAGACAGATACGAAAGAAACTGAGAAAGCAGTGTGATGGAGACTAACTGGCGGGGTTTTCTGGCGGGGTACCCAGCCAGTGCTCTTCCTCCAAGATCAGCTGTCCAGGATGTCCTTGTGGTGTGCTAGCAGGGACAGCACTGCGCGCCAAGTCAAAGCTCTCATACTTGTGGGAGAAAGTGGAATACATTAGTGAATTGAGAAGCATGTAAGGAAAGCCGCTGTCTGCAGCATGGAGACAATAAGAAAGCATGAAGACTGTGGAGAACGGGAAGCCTCATGCCGTACTCCTATAGAGCATGAGTAGACAGCCAACTAGGAGCTTTCGTTGATTTTTGGGGCAACATGAGAATTTGGATGATCCTCACATTATTCAACATAGATCAAAAATCTACAATAATAAGTATTTGCAAATAATTAGAAATATTTGTATACATTGTGAGGACCAAATGTATATAGATGCCTGTCTGGTCCACCTTTGTCTAATGGGTCAGGGATGGGTCTATGTGCTCGAGTGAATGAGAGGAGCTGTTTTCAGAGCCCACTACCTCTCCAGTTTGGTAATTTGCAAGAAGGACTTCCAACACTCAATAGCCAGTTATACTTATGACTAGGGTTTCTCTTTTCTTCGAGTCCAAGTCTTGCTGTGTCACCCAGGCTGGAGTGCAATGGCTCTATCTCAGCTCACTGCAACCTCTGCCTCTGGGTTCCAGGTTCAAGCAGTTTTCCTGCCTCAGCCTCCCAAGTAGCTGGGATTACAGGGACCTGCCACCACACCCAGCTAATTTTTGTATTTTTAGTAGAGATGGGAGTTTCACCATGTTGGCCAGGCTGGTCTCAAACTCCTGATCTCATGATCCTCCTGACTCAGACTCCCAAAGTGCATGAGCCACTGCACCTGGCCATGGCTGGGGTTCCTTAGAGTAAAAGAAAGAAAACAGAAACGTAAGGGTAAACACGTGTATCACCAGAGTTGAGAGGGGCCAGATACAGGCTTCTGAGTCCTTCTCCATCCCAGGCCTCACAGGTTGTACTTTCTCTCTAGCAGTGAACTACGGGGACATATTTGGAATGTCTTTGCACAGAAAGGTCCATTTGAGTACTAGGGTGTGAGGCTTTATACAGGGCTGGTCATTTACGCCCATGCTGCTATGGAACCAGCTATTGAAACTGAAACTCAGGACCCCAACGATGCAAACAAGGAGATCGTGGATCTTGTTAAACAGTCCTGGCAAGTCTTGACAAGCTGATTCAACAGGCCCTATTGCTCCAGGTTTATACACCTCACCAATTAGTGATATATAGAATATTGTGTTGGTCATATAGGCAGGGGTTGGCCAAGATTCCACCAGGGTCCCAGGTTCTCCTGGAAAGATGTAGGGGCTCAGCAAACAGATCTGCTCCATTAAATCTGTCTTCCTAAGAGCTTTGTAAAGGAAACGCTGAGAACAGGAGGAGAGTTATCATGGAGATAGAGCAAAAGTTGGAAAGGGGGCAGAATATAGCAATTGACTTACAGATCCTCAGAAGACTTGGAAATCAACTAGGTCAATCTTTAGTATAATTGATAAGTCTCTGTTTTTGGTTTTGAACTTAATTTCTGGTCTGTCTGGAGATCAGGTGCTAAGTTACTTGCCTTTTCACAACGTGATATTCCACTAGGCATTTATTTCAGATCAATTTTAGAATGTTTTGAGTTGTTTTAAATAATGGACAGTTGCTTTATTCTGGCTCCAGTTTCTGCTAGATGTTTTGAGGGCTTATGTTACTTACGGGCAAAATAAAGTTAGCCCCAAAATAGGAATTAAAATGCCTCTTTTCATAACTTTAGAGGATAGTTGCTTAAAGAGTTTTGGGACTTCCTAGTTTCTATAATTTGAAAGTAATTTTAAGAAAAATAGTCAACTCTTAACAACTCACAAAACTAGGGAAACTCAGACTTAATCAACTGCAAGGAATGACTCAGCCATTGAGAATGCCTGTACTTAAGAGGTAAGTGGATGGCATGAAGGAACAGAGGAAACTGAAGGGGTAGTAAGAGAGATGGAGTAGGAAGCAGTGTTACAGGATCCAAAATGAAGGTAATTGTGAACACTTTCTGTGCTCCCAAAACAACCCGTCACAGCTCTTCCCATAACCATGTTGCATGGAGGTGCCTGTTTATACTTTATTCCCACACCAGGCTTCCCTTTCTCTTGGTTTTCTCCACACCTAGCACAGCTGTCCCTGACATCACGTAGTGTCTCTAAATATTTAGATGAATAATCAACTGTCAAGGAGATGTCAAGACAAAACTGATGAACTAGGCAAAAATACTAGGGATCTTCAATAGGGCAGTTTTATCTGCGTGATGGAAAGAAAAAGAAGTAAATTCATAATTGTTCATCAGTAAGTCTGGAGGCATCCAAATACATCTACCTGCCTCAGAAATTACATCCTTTCTGTGCAGGAATAAACGAAAAACCTCATTTAAATATATCAACAAGTGTTCACACATATACACGTGCAGAATTTTCAAATAATCAGTGGTTAATATTTGCATCATTATTTTACATGCATTTTTCAAGTTTATTTGACACCACAAGAAAGTATAAATTGTATCTCAATGCATTTTGTGGGTATAAGGAAAAGTGCCGTTTGAAAAATTAAAACAAGATATATTTTATCACAAGAGATATAAATAGCCTGAGGGGCTTGGTGCTTGGATAGAAAAGTTTAAAGATGATCATTTTCCTTCAGGTAAATATTTGGACATTCTCGCCATCTCCTGTGACAGCTTTGACGAGCAAGTCAATGTCCTTATTGGCCGTGGCCAAGGAAAGAAGAACCACGTGGAAAACCTTCAAAAGCTGAGGACATGGTGTAGGAATTATAGAGTCGCTTTCAAGATAAATTCTGTCATTAATCGTTTCAACATGGAAGAGGACATGACTGAACAGATCAAGGCGTTAAACCCTGTCCGCTGGAAAGTAAGTACACAAGGTTGCTTTTGCTTATTTCCTGCAAGAAAACCTTCAGGAATGAAACTGGAAACAACACTTACACAAGAGAACTCTGGACCTTGCAAGCCATTCTAGAAGTCAGGTCCTTGGTTATTCAGCCGTGTTAGACTTAAAACTATACTTTTCTTTGCCTTACTGCCCTTTTCTGAAAACTTGAAATGATTTCCTTTGGAAATATTGTGAGGATAAACATCAAAAAATACGCTCAGTGCTTGGAAATGTTTGAAAGAATATGTTCATAGAAAGCCAAAATTTCTTTCTGAAACTCTTGGCTTACGGATGGACAGATACAGGTTCCTCATAAATTCTGATGCAGTGAATCTCTGGAAGACATTAGGGGTAAAGTCATCCCCCAGCTGCAGCAAAATGGGACTTCTATTTCCAGATTCATGATTTAGGGCTGACCCCACTACCTGCTACTAAAAGCCTAAAGGCCACACACACAAGCCAGCTCCACATATACGGCACCTGCTACATGTAGACACAATGACTGAAATCCTTGTTTTCTACCTTTGACTGCTCATCAGCATTGAATCAGGAGGCTGTTTAAAAAGCAGCCTCTTGGGCCTCATATCTGCTGTTCTGAAACAGGGCCTGTGGTCAAGGCACGGATAGTCGGGAGGGCTTGTAAAACATGTATTTCTAACGAGCAGTTCTAGGGGTAGTTGTAGAGCTACGCAGCACCTGTGTCTGGAGCTCAGCGTGGATGCAATAAAAGATCAGACGCAGAGCTCAGTGCTGGCACAAACACACAGAGACGTGGGAAAACTCACACAGTAGCAAGCTACGGGGGCTTCCATTAGGTGAAGTGGCAAAGCAGGCTGAGCTTAACTGGAAGGCTTCATATAGGAGGAGGCATTTGGCTATGCTCTGAAAAAATGGAAAGAATTTTCATAGGCAGCAAAGACCTGAAGCAGAAAGCCACGTCCAGACTACAGGGCTTGCCTGTGCAAAGAAAGCTTTTCCTTCAAAGCTGCCTTGGAGCTTTCTTTCAATCACATGTCAGCATTCCAGATAGAGCTAGGGAGGAGGGAAAGGGTATTCTGTCATTTTCCCAAAGCTGTCCTGTAATATGTGGAAATGGGTTAGGGGAAGCTGCAGATGGTACTTTTAACATTTTTTAATAGGTATGTTGAACATGGACTTTTGGTTACATATATAAGGACAGGAAATATCAGACACATCCCCAGGTCTAGAAGGAACTGAAGGAAAGCTCAAGAGAGAGGTATGATAGGAAAAGCAGGGACTATGATCCACTAAGAAGGCAGGGGCTCCAGGCGGGGGCTAAGCTGCCTTTGAGATGCTCACATTCCTGCCAGATCCCCCTCCCATCCCCACCTCTCTCCTCTGCCCCATGTTTCCTGTTCCTGCTGTCTTCCTCACAGTTCTCTTTGGCATCCTTTTTTCAGATGTGTAAGTATTTTTTCCCCACAGCTTGGTTTTCTCCTATCTCACAGTCTTCCTCTCAGATATTTTGACTCCTGTGCTGGCTTCCATTCATCTGATTCATTCTAGATTTGCCATTTCAAGATCCTGACTCTTTTGGTGGAAGCAGCTCCTGCCTGTTTGGAAAACCAGATTGTTGATGCTTTCAGGCTTCCCATTGATATAGATTGATGCCCCTGGATCAGGTGCCTGTTCTTAGTCTAATCGTACATGGCACTTGGAACCTGGTTTCCTGAGGCGACCTCCTCCACCACGAGGCTGTGGGCTGGAAGGTGCCACCAGCTGCATGCCTGGGACAACAGCACTGAGCATGTGGACTGCTCACTTGGAGGCTGTGTTGTGACCTGTAGGCTTGGGAGGAGGGGGCTCCTTCTACGCCCCCATGCCGAGTCCCACACCCTCAGTATTGTTCCCCTTACAGTTCCTATGACTTGGTTTTCTCCTGCAGAGGCCCTTCCATTCTGCCTGGCTGATTCTGCCGTCAAAGTCTGTAGAAAAAATGCCTGTGATGTATGTCTTCTTCGGTAGTCAAGTCTGCTCATTATTCAAACCTGCATGGAAGGACAGTCCCTCCTTGCCAGACCTCTTCTTACCCTGAGTCTGGGTGGGGCATTGGGGTGGGTGACGATCCCTCCCAAGATGTTCACAGTCTGTTAAGGAAGATACCACGCAAGCAAATAGCAAAATTATCCTGTGGCCAGGAGCCAGTGGAGGCAGATATCAAACAACCGAGAAGGGGAAAAATAAAGAGTGAGCAAAAAAGGCAACACTGAAGTGTTAACAGTTTCTTCTCATCTGGTTTCAGTGGGATCTGAGTGGTTCCGGCAATGACATTAGTGGAATTCTGTGTAGAACAATCCTTTCCATGGAAACCCTTTAGAACTGGGCTTGTCCTGGCTCTGTCTTGGGTTAGCTGTCACCTTTTGTCACCTTGGGCAAGTCTCTTCATTGCTTGCCTTCCCTAGGACTGACTTCTATTTTCAAATGATGGTAGTAAGTATAGAATCATACACTGTACACACTCATACACACACATTTGTATACTTAAAACACTGTTGAAAGATAATAGTGATGATTTTGAAAAACAGTTCTTAGATATTAAATAAAAACAGATCTACTAGAGGCCTTCAGAAGGATATATTAAAAATCAGCAGAGAAAACAATGTTTTTAAAACATGTTTTTCTTGGTTATGGGATTACACATGATTTATTTTTCTTGCTCTTTTACAGTTTATGCTTTTTCAATACGTATCCATTATTTTGTTGCCAGAAAATACTGGATTATAAGACTAAATCAAACGTAATCTAGACCAGTTTTTGAAAGTTTATATTTTAAGAATGTGCTTCTAACATTGTATTCCTAAATTTCAGGGCAAGCTTTCCTTTCACCAAGGTCATATCCTTATAGAATGTTCCTCAGCTTGTAGAGTCTTCTTTGCTCAGAAGAGATGAAGCTTGAACCGGGGAAGCGAGGTTTGGGGGAAAACATGGAGAGCTCTCTGCAAAGCCTATGCTACCATTGCCTTTCAGGTGTTCCAGTGCCTCTTAATTGAGGGCGAAAATACTGGAGAAGATGCTCTAAGAGAAGCAGAAAGATTTGTTATTAGTGATGAAGACTTTGAAAGATTCCTGGAGCGCCACAAAGAAGTGTCCTGTTTGGTGCCTGAATCTAACCAGAAGGTTGTATAAAGCAAAGTTGTTTTCTCTATCATTATATATTCAGATAGATTCCCAAAAGGGGAATCTCTCAGCCAAGGGCATATTGTTACTTTAGAGAGTTCAGCGGTGAGAGATGGGGGGAGTGCCATGTCAGGGTAGGTAAGGCTGCCATTGGCTCTGCCACCTCCCAGCTTTGGGGTCTTTAGAGAGCTTCAGCTTCTCTGTCTACAATGGATACAGCGGTATTTTGCAAGTGATACAATTGTATGTAGATTCATGTAGATATTCTTGATATACGATTCATATATGTATAATGTCCCTAGGTGTCATACATGTATGACACAGTCCCTAAACATAGAAAGAACTAACAAAGATATTCACAAGAGCTAACAAGATACTCAATTGATATCAACATTACCACATTATTTAGTTGAATAATCTCTATGTATAATTTTGTTGCATAGAATGTAAAAGAAATGTTTCACCAACTGTTTAGTTTTCTAATGTAATGACCATTGCATCCATCCTATTAGCACAAATTTCATAAACAGATGAAAGACAGTTGATCAAACAAGTCCACACTATGGAGCTTCCAGGTAATACTAGAGGCAGGGTGTCTAAAGATGTATTCTCAGAAGCGACAGAAAAAAAAATCCTTCTTCTTCCTGCCACAGTAGAGGAAACTCCTTATTAATGAAAGATACAAACTTAAAAAAAATTATGACAGTATAATTGAATGCATAAAATTAAAACTATATGTCACGCATATGATAAAATTAAAAGTGAAATGTGTTAATGTGATATGTCATATATAAAAAGTTCTTCAAATCATAAAAATCTATTAACACCAAAAAAGCAAAACAGGAATGGGCATAGATGGATAATTTACAAAAGGAAAACAAATGGTGAATAAACATTTTAAGAGCATTTGATATTGTATTTAGTTCATATTGTTAGCAAGAGTATAAATCATTGCAACTTTCCTAGAAAACAAGTTTATAACTTTGAAGTAGTCACATATTCGAATTCAGAAATTGTATCTTAAAACATGAGAAATATTCACAGATGTAGAGAAACATTTATGTAAAGATCTGTTACTGCAGTGTTAAGAATAATAACCCCAAATTAAAGACAGCCTGCCATGTAGCATACAGAGAGAATGGGTGAATCTGTAGGTTCACAGAATGAAATGGTACATAGAGTAACATGCTTATTCCAAAACTTTATAAGTGACAAGAAGAAATTCTGATAGTACAATACTAGATAACAGATAAAAAAAATAGTATGCAAAATTAATTTGAAGTTTAATTCTAACGTGTTAAAAAATGCATCTCTACATATTCCTGTGGTTATCTTGGAGTAGTGGAATTATTAGTAGTTTTTTTAACCTTTAGAACTTTTTGAACTTCAAAATTCTGTAACATAAATAAAAGTGTTATTATTTGACAAGCAGCTTCTCCATCTGCCATCCAAAAATATACATACAGGAAAATCTTTACCCCGTATGCTTCCATAATGCTAGGAACTCACATAGCAGACATTCATTCCTTACGCTTTAGACTTCCGAGGCTCTAGGTAAATAGTTCAAGGTTAAAAGGTAATATTGAAGTGAGCATGAATAAGAGAATTTTAGAATGCAGGACAGGATGACCATCAAAAAGAAGAGAAAAGGGGTAGAGGAGGTTTTCTTCTATGCACTATTTTATTACATTTTTTAAAACTCCATTTTAATTAAATAGTTAATATGAGATGAAAGAAAGTCTGATTGAGTGCCTCCTTTGTAAGAGGGACTGTTAACCCTTTGGCCCCTTGCCATTTTCACAAATGCTTCATGAGCCAGGATTTATTATCCCCATGGTATCTATACAACAAGAGGCCAAGTGGTAGGTGCTCATTTCCCTGACTTGTATCAGGGGCAGAATCTGAATTTTGATGACCCCAAAGCCCACCAACCTTTTAGCCAGTTTGTTTCAAACTTCAGAAAAATCACCTGAGATCTTGTGAAAAGGCAGACCCTTATTCAGCGGGTCTGAGCTGGGCCCACCACTCTGCACCTGGAACTGGTTCCCAGGTGACGCTGATGTTGCTGGTCCCCCACTAGACATTGAACAGTGGGTCTGCTCCCATCCCTGCATGGGAGTCGGCAAATGCTGGCCCGAGGGGTGGGTCTGGCCTGCCGCCCGCTGTAGTACAGGATGCAGGGTGAGAGTTGGTGAGGGAAGGTATGAAAGCAAGAATCGTACTTGTGGCCAGTGACCATTATGTAAAAGTTGGCTTTCTGGGCCCATAAATGAAGTTTCGGTGGAGCTCAGCTGAGCTCTTTTCCTTATGTATTGTTTGTGCTGTCTTTTGGGCTGCGATGCACAGTTGATTCGTTGTGACAGACTGTGTGGCCCGCCAAGTCGAAAATATTTACTATCTAGCCCTTCACAGAAAACATTTTGCAGACCCCTATCTATGGGTAGGTATGGAAGAAATACCTTCCGATTGACAGTACAGGTACACCTTCTTTATACCTATAGAAGGCATAACTATTTATGAGTAATGTTAGGGTAATATTAAAATCCTCAGGTAAAGCCACCCTTTAGCTCCAAAAAAATATCATTCAAGACGGTTCTGCTTTATAAGTTGAGAAGGGGGATATTAGATACATATAATATCTAATTATATGGTGGACACAGTCATTGGGAATATCAAGTAAGGAAGAAAAGGGCTCTCCCACAGTGTGAAGGGATGGGGAAATTGCCGTGGAGTTCACTGTCAGGGAAGCCTTCAGGATGGAGGTTCTGATGTTTGACCTTTGCAGCAAAGAGCAGAGAGTACAGGCCTGCTGTGATCTGCTGGAAACCGAATGCACACAAACAGAGCCTCGTCTTGCAAGGGCACGACAAAGGCAACTCAAGGGAAATGAGAAATGCTGGATCCAAAATAACACAACGCAAACACTGAACGTGGACAGTTGCACTCACACACTGAGAAATATATCTGAAACTGAATTTGTATTAATTTCTCCTTTACAGATGAAAGACTCCTACCTCATTCTGGATGAATATGTGAGTATTTCTCATGAGTTATAAAATGATCACTTAATTAATTAGCAGCAATGCCGGAGTTGAGTTCCATGAGCATAACTACCTTGTACCTATTTGTCCATAATTAGCACTTCACAGTTCTATGGTCAGTGATTACGATTGTTCCAGAGCCCTCACTTCACAGGGTCAAAATGTGGAGCTGAGCACTGGAACAGCACGAGCTTGAACCCAGGTCCCGGCATTGATTTGCACTGAGCACCCTGTGATCTTTTCTCCCATATGGCTGTACATCATGGATGTCACATTGAACCCATTATCACACATAACAGAGTCATCTGTTATGTAGTCTTGGGCTGGAGGTTCTCCTGAGATAGGGCATCCAGCCTGTTTTGGAGGAAGGTCGTATCACTCTTCACATTATCTTGGACAAACCAGACACGGCTAGCTTTTCCTCTGATTGATAAACCTTGGCTTTGGTGAGGAGAGGCTTATGGTTCTGCTCCAAACACCATTAATATTATTCCTACCCCACTGCCTTCCAAAGGCAGGGGGAAACCCGCCCTTCTGAAAATTGAAAAACAAATCACTTTCCCCTTTCCTCTGTCTTTTTTTTACCTATATCTGTAAACTTTGCCATTCTTCCTAGCAAGGGACAAAAAATTCCATTTGAAGATGTTTTAAAGAAATTAGCTTCAACAACCTTGAGTTCAATATTTAAATTGGATCTGTTTTTTGGAGAAATGCTTACTGTCACTTTTGATATCTGCTTTTCTTTCTTTCTGTTTTTTTTTTTTTTTTTTTTTTTTTTTTTTTAGATAAGGTTTCCTCTGTCACCCAGGCTAGAGTGCAGTGGCACAATGTGGGCTCAGTTGATCCTCCTGCCTCTGCCTTCTGAGTAGCTAGCGGGGTGCACTACCACACCTAGCTAGATTTTTATGTATTTTTTGTAGAGGTGGGATTTTGGCATATTGCCCATGCTGGTCTTGAACTCTTGGGCCTCCCCAAATGCTGAGATTCCAGGCATGGGCCCCCATGCCCAGCTAATATTTTGTTATTTTCAATTTAATCAATCATTGCTTATAGCCATTCCATTTCTTAACAATATAACCTTTCTTAATAGAGCATAAGGGACAAAGTGACAAGGAAAACATTCAGTTTCTGAGAAACATTCAAACAATTAATTTTTGGAAAGGAAATGATTATGATTAACTAGGGATTTTGACCAGCATCCCTCAGCAAACTAGCTGCTAGTCTCCACATATTTGGAAAGCACATAGTCAAAGCAAAATATATTTTACCAACTGAATAACATTTTTCTTTAACAGATATTACTTGAGCTCCTATGAAACACAGTGTAGGTCATATGGAATGTGAGGAAATCATTTCTGCCTACAGAGTAGAATAGGACAGAATACAACAAATGAAAATGGATGGAATAAGATTAAAACAAAGACCCTTAGCAGGTCATAGAAAACTTCATGATCCCGCACCCATCCACCTCAGCAGCACATTTCTTTTCTTTTTCGTTCTTTTTTTTTTTTTTAAGACAGAGTTTTCGCTCTTGTTACCCAGGCTGGAGTGCAATGGTGCGATCTCAGCTCACGGCAACCTCCGCCTCCTGGATTCAGGCAATTCTGCCTCAGCCTCCTAAGTAGCTGGGATTACAGGCACGCACCACCATGCCCAGCTAATTTTTTGTATTTTTTTTTAATAGAGACAGGGTTTCACCATGTTGACCAGGATGGTCTCGATCTCTTGACCTCATGATCCACCTGCTTCAGCCTCCCAAAGTGCTGGAATTACAGGCATGAGCCACCGTGCCCAGCTGTTTTCATCCTCTCTCTTTCTCAAAACAAGTCTTCATTAGGATTTACACTAATACATGCATGTACTTATACAGACACATTGTTTCTATTCTGGAAACATCGTCTACCTCTAATTTCCCCAATACACCATGTTATATCCCACTTCCATGCCTTTATGATACCATTCCCTCCCATTTAAAATCTCAACACATAATTTGGATGTCAGCATTTGGGAGAAGCCTCTCCTGACCAGCCCCTCCCCCAGTGGAGCAACGCCTGCCCGTGTGGGACGCATATAATTCTGTTTTTTGTGCGCTCAGTTAATCTGCTATGTTTAGGCCAGCCTCTTCCACCAGAACATGAGCTAGTTGATTAGAGAGATGGGGTACAACGGGTTCAGTATCAGCCACAGATTTCAAAAAATATCTGTCGACATGATTGGAATATCCAAAGCTAAATCTGAGATTAATACTCTAGATTGAGTTTTACAGGATTCATTGCATGGAAATATACCAGCTTCTGTTATGAATTTTCTAGATGCGCTTTCTGAACTGCACAAAGGGACGGAAGGACCCTTCCAAGTCCATCCTGGATGTTGGTGTAGAAGAAGCTATAAAATTCAGTGGATTTGATGAAAAGATGTTTCTGAAGCGAGGAGGAAAATACATATGGAGTAAGGCTGATCTGAAGCTGGACTGGTAGAGCAGAAAGTGGAACGAGACTTCAGCCTACCAGTGGGGAAACTCCCAGAGTGCCTGCCATTGTCTACAGCGCTGTCCCGCTGCCCTTTCCCAATGGCTGAAAACCTGTTTCTGCTGCACATAACATCTGATTACCTGTGGTCGCTGAACTCATAAATAACCTGGGGGCACTGCTTTCACTGCTTTCTTCACCTGTCACTTAGGTCACATGAGGCTGTCAAGCAAAGGAATCGGCGTGAAGTTGGATAGCTGGTTGTCCCCACGTCTCTGAGAAGTGACAGCACACTGGCTTGGCATAAGATATCCTAAAATCATGCTGGAACCTTGGACAAGGAAGAATGTGAGCGAGAGTAGGGAGAGTGTCTGGATTTCATGTCAGTGAAGCCACGGAACCATCTCAGATTTTTGAATGAACTTTGAATGAATTTAAATAAGGTACCATTTACGTCAGCTTAAGAAGAATCAGCTCAGAGAAAGCAAGTGTGAGGGAAAATGTCATGTAAACTGGTCAGGGAGCAAAACCCTCTCCCTGTCTAAGTATCCTATGTGGTTTGTTTGTGTAACTTAGTATGTTGTTTCCTAAAAAATAATTATTTCTTATTGTTTCAAAAAAGCAAAATCATAGAAATTTTTGTTGCCCAAAAGGTCATTTTAATTAAACTGCAATTTCAGTGTTCCTCACTAGGTGGCATTTAAATGTTGCCTGATGTCGTTAAGCACCATCCAGGAATTCTGCTTCATAATCTATTTTCAAAACTTGATGACTGTTGAACGTTTTGTTCCCTTGCTGGTGAGGAGTTGTGATCCTTTGGAGGAAGAGAAGACGCATTCTGGTTTTTGGAATTTTCAGTATTTTTGTGCTGGTTTTTCCTCATCTTCGTGGATTTATTTACCTTTCATCTTTGATGTTGGTGACTTTCAGATGGGGTTTTTGAGTGGGCGCCCTTTCTGTTTATGTTGATGTTATTCATTTCTGTTTCTCAGTTTTCCTTCTAACAGTCAGGCCCCTCTTCTGCGGGTCTGCTGGATATGCTGGAGATCCACTCCAGACCCTGTTTGCCTGAGTATCACCAGCAGAGGCTGCAGAAGGGCAAAGATTGCTACCTGCTCCTTCCTCTGGAAGCTTCATCCCAGAGGGGCACCTGCCAGATGCCAGCTGGAGTTCTCCTGTATGAGGTGTCTCCCAGTCAGAAGGCATGGGGGTCAGGGACCCACTTGAGGAGGCAGTCTGTCCCCTAGCAGAGCTCAAGTGCTCTGCTGGGAGATCCACTGCTCTCCTCAGAGCTGGCGGGAAGGAACTTTTAAGTCTGCTGAAGCTGTGCCCACAGCCACCTATTCCCCAAGGTGCTCTGTCCCAGGGAGATGGGAGTTTTATCTATAAGCTGGTGATGTGGCTACTGCCTTTCTTTCAGAGATGCCCTGCCCAGAGAGGAGAAACCTAGAGAGGAAGCCTGGCTATCGCGGCTTTGCGATGCTGTGGTGGGCTCTGACCAGTTCAAACTTCCCAGTGGCTTTGTTTACACTGCCTTCTCAAGCCTCAGTAATGGTGGAGGCCCCTCCCCATACCAAGCTCCAGCATCCCAGGTCAACTCCACACTGCTGTGCTGGCAGCGAGAACTTCAAGTCAGTGAATCTTAGTTTGCCTGGTGCTACGTGGGTGGAATCCGCTGAGCAAGGTAACTTGGCTCCCGGGCTTCAGCCCCTTTTCTGGGGGAGTGAGTGATTCTGTCTCACTGGCATTCCAGGTGCCCCTGGGGTATGAAAAAAAAACTCCTGCAGCTAGCTCAGTATCTGCCCAAAGGGCTACCCCGTTTTGTGCTTGAAACCCAGCTGGTGGTTTCAACCCGAAGGAATCTCCTGGTCTGCGGGTTGTGAAGACCATGGGAAAAGCATAGTATCTGGGCTGGAAAACACTGTTCCTCACAACACAGTCCCTCACGGCTTCCCTTGGCTAGGGGAAGGAGTTCCCCGACCCCTTGTGCTTCCCGGGTGAGGCGATGCCCCACCCTGCTTCTGCTTGCCCTCCGTGGGCTGCACCGACTGTCTGAGCAGTGCCAGTGAGATAACCCAGGTACCTCAGTGGGAAATGCAGAAACCACTTGCCTTCTGTGTGGGTCTTGCTGGGAGCTGCAGATGGGAGCTGTTCCTATTTGGCCATCTTGTGAGCCCTGCAGGTCAGGTTTAATTACATGAAAATGCCCCGTGTATGCTTTGGATAACTACAGCAAGCCCACCTCAGATGCCACTAAAATGGACTTAAAAGATCAGAAAGATTGTTACAATATTTATTTTATAATTCCGAAAAACATACGCATTTTGAAGATATTTGAAAACAGAGTAAAACAAAATGAAGAAAATTAAAATTACCCATAATTGTATCACACAGAGGTAACCCCTAATTTAGCTCATGTCTGTCCAGTCATATATATTGCTTAATAGAATTGCATTCATACACAATAATTTTATTTTTTACATAATATCTTCTGAAGGTTCTTAAAGTCAATTAGCCTTTTATACTTTAATGAGAACAGCCATTCTTAACAATTCACACTAATACATGAGAAAACATTCAATGACAATAAAAACCAGAGTTCATTTCAGAAAAACCATTGGATTTGGTTTTTGAGTTGTTTACATGTTTGTTTATGTATGTGAGTGATATTCTATTAATTTTGGTAATATTCTCCCTACACACACACACACACACACACACACACACATACAACACAAAGCTTCTCTGTACAAGTTCATTATTGCAGAACCTGGAAAACTGCCCAAGAGTTGTTTATTTTTTAAATTCAAGGCTGCCTCAACTTGTTCCTGACACCCTCTCAGCAACACATCTGAACAGACTGACCTTTATCAGTTCTCTTCCTGGATTATACTCAGCTTTTGGAGAACTCGCCCACATGAGTAGATGTCAGAAAACCTGTGTGTGTGTGTGTGTGTAGTTGGTGCTATCTGCTTTTGTGAAGAATGCCTCATTTTTCATTAAATCATCACTCAGATATCACTTTTTCCAGGAAGCCTAGCAGACAGCAGGTATTCAAATGCTGGTTGAGTCAAACTGACCTGAATTAGTCAGCTCAGGCTGCCGTAACAAAATACCATGTACCACATGGCAGAAACAACAGACATGCATTTCTCTGGAGGTTGGAAGCCCAAGATCAAGGTGCCATCTGGTTCAGTTCCTGCTGAGGCTTCTCTCCCTGGCCTGCAGATGGCTGCCTTGTCCCTGTGTTCTCACATGGCGAAGAGATCTCTCTCCTTTTATAAGGCCACCATCCTTTTGCATAAGGACTTCATTTGAACTTAACTACCTGCTAAAGACCTTGTGTCCAGATGTAGTCACATTGGGGATCAGAGCTTCAACATGTGAATGTTGGAAGGAGACAATTCAGTCCATAGCATGATCCATCATTGAAACAGTAAGATGCAATATACCTAATAGATTTCACTTGACTTTGATGCCATTTAATAAGGTCACTTCTATTGAAATGGGCAATGCTGTGAGCAGTATGACCTGGTGACATCTGGAAGTTTCTAGTGCTTTAAATATTGCCCCCATCATCTGTGACAGGGCCTGAAATATCTTAGTTATCATTAAACATGGAGTTTCTCCACTGATTTTCTCTAAAACTGAGGGAGCTTGGGAAAGTGGCAAACATTAATCTTGTTCTTATGAAGTTGTCGTGGGGATATGTCAGCCCCACCTTTCTCCCAGGTATAAGCCAGGAGAGGGAAAAGAAGGGAACAGAGAGTAAACCTAAGCTATTTCCTACCCGTTTAGCTACCATAACCTGGTGATGCCTGCAACATCCTTGCGGTTGAAAGGTTTAATTCAGGAACAGCTTGGTGCATATCTACCATGTGGTCAGACCTGTGCCAGATGCTATGGGGAATAGCTAGGAAGAGGAGTTAGGGTTTTCACCTTTGAGAAACTTACAAATGTTAGGACAAGAGTTAGACACACAAGAGAGTTAAACAACTGAGTAAGAGGGCAAATCAGTGATAGAAAAGGCACAGGTTGTGGAGACAGCCTGGCTTGAGCTGTAGTACCATGTTTGATTAAGGGTGGGAGACTTAGGTTCACAGAGGCCCAGTTTCCTCATCGGCAAAATGAGGGATCAATGCAAAGATTACAGTAAGGACTTAAGTTAATTGTGCAAACAGCCCCTGGCAGCCTCTGATAACTAATAACAGTTACCAGTGAGTTCACATTGTGTGAAAGCTATCCTTTCTAATCTGACGTAACTTAGGACAAAATAGATAAAACCTCGTGTCACCGTTTGAAGTCCTGATGATTATTGTGAGCAAGAAAAGAGGACATTTGGGGTTTGGGGAAGAACACCTGAGAGAACAGGAAGCTTAAGATGACTGCCCTTTGGTTAACTTACTCATTATGCACCTGTGATGTATCAGGTTTTATAGCACCCACTAAAAACACAAAAATAAACATGACACTGTTTTGTTGCTAAGGTGCTCAAAGCTTGTGGAAAAGGCAATCTTGTGAAGGAATAGGTAAAATAAATGTTGAAGGTTAGTAGAAGCAGCAACAAAGTTTTCACACTCCAAAAAAACATGGCAGCCTCCAGTCTCCAATTCTACATCTTAATGGGAATAGTGAGATGAGTGCCTCCCAGTTCTCTGATCTGACAAATTTGGTAGGACATAACCTAAAAATGCTCTGACTTCTCAGCCACAAAAGAGAATGAATTAATGGCATTCGCAGCAATTTGAATGAGAGTGGAGACTATTATTCTAAGGAAAGTAACTCAGGAATGGAAAACCAAACAGTGTACGTGTCACACTTAAGTAGCAGCTAAGCTATGAGGATGTAAAGGCATAAGAATGACCCAGTGGACTTGGGAACTCAGCGGGGAAGGGTGGGATGTGGGTGAGGGATAAAAGACTACACACTGGGTGCAGTGTGTACTGCTCGGGTGATAAGTGCACCAAAGTTTCACAAATGACTACTAAAGAATTTACTCATGTGGCCAGGAGCTGTGGCTCACGCCTATAATCCCAGCACTTTGGGAGGCCAAGGCGGGTGGATCGTGAGGTCAGGTGATGGAGACCATCCTGGCCAACATGATGAAACCCTGTCTCTACTAAAAATACAAAAAATTAGGCAGGTGTGGTAGTGGGCACCTGTAATCCCAGCTACTCTGGAGGCTGAGGCAGGAGAATCACTTGAACCTGGGAGACAGAGGTTGCAGTGAGCTGAGATCACAGGACTACAGTTCAGCCTGGAGACAGATTGAAACTCCAAAAAAAAAAAAAAAAAAGAAGTTACTCATGTAACCAAACACCACCACCTGTTCCCAATAACTTATGGAAACAAAAACACAGCAAAATAACCCACTTTGTTTTGTGAAGAGGACAATGTAGGCCTTCAAATGGCCTCAAAAATCAGAGACACAGAAACGTGTGAAGTAACTGGATATAAGACAGCACAGGGTGTTGGGAGCTGGCTGAGCTAGAAAACATAGTCCTCTTAGAGGCATTCGAGTTGTATAAAACATGACACTCCCCAAATGAAAGGCCTCTGAAGATCTGACTGGTCTTATCAGATGCCTGTCTTCAGATTCAAGTCTCAATGCCACCATGACTATCCCTAATTTGTTCAATGGTATGTCAGGCATTGGCTGTTCACTGAGAACTTGTAACCATAATCATTGTTCCTTGAAAGAAGCTTTTTGACTTCCCCGTTGTAAAGACTTTGAGTAGTCATTCATAACCCCTTCTGTGAACATGAGAAAATTATGCTTCCTCACTCTCTCAGTTAAACAAAGCTACTGATTGCAGCCAATGATGAGTGCATTGAACTGCTGGTACAAGGCTCTACAACATTTGCTTCTGGGTGCACACTGATTACAGAGGAGGCCTCAGGTTGAGATGGTGGAGTCTGAAAACAGGCAACCTTGATCTTGATGCTTCTCGGGAGGATAGTGTCAGGGAGACAAACATGGTCACAGCAAACTGTGTATATGGGACAGTCCAGCTTTTGAGATTACTTGTTACCAAAACAGATTAGTCTGTCCTGACCAAAAAGATCCAGTAACAAATAACACTCAGATTGTCTAAGGCTGATGCTGGGGTTAAGGCATTGGGACTTCATAGTCCCATTTTATAAGATTTCCATTCTCCGTGGGGGTGGCTCTACAACTGATAGAATCACAACAATCTTAGACTCGGAGAAATGTGCCATTGCCTTCTACCAGTGGACACACAATTCTTCTCTTAATTTAAATTATGTGTTCCTTAAGGGGAGAGAGCATATTTTGGCAGCTAACAATGTCTGAACCCTGGAGCATGTGGCAAGTATGGTGTTAAGTGCTCTGATAATTCTTATTTTAACTGCTCACAGAAACCATGTAAGAGAAGTGTTATCATCCCTCATTTTATAGTTACGGAAACGAACTGAGGGAGTCAACTGACACGACCACATGCACAGCTAGATCTTGATGAAACCCAGACCGATTTTAGCGGCAAAGCCCAAGCCAAGCTCAGGGAGAGGAGGGCTTTGTCGTTCCTTCCAAACCGTCTGGGACTCAGGACTCAGCTTCCAGCTTTCCGGGTCTTATTTGTTGTTGTTATTTGTTTTAATCCGTGAAGCCTGCTCCTCTCTTGATGATTAGAAACTGTGAGTGCATGTCTTCTTTAGAGGAAGTGGGTTGTGGCTTTGCTCCGTGATCCTCTGATAAGAGTAAGTTCTCAGAAATACAGCCCAATAGACCCAACTTTCACACAAAGATATAAAATGAGAGAAGAAGGAAGGAGAAGACAGATCGATAGAGATCTTCACACACATGCAAGATGGGGAAAGGAGAAAGAGGATTTGCATTCTTTCATTCTAATATTACATTCTTTATGTCTAATGCCAGACACACAAATATAATAATATAATAAGAGTAACAAAAGTGATGTGAACGCAGCTGAGCAGAAAGCTTGGCTAACCCAGGGGGGTGACAGAAACGTTACCAGAGGTGTCAGTGCTGCGCTGAAGTTTAAAATAGTGGGAGACATTTTCCAGGCTGTCAAGGAGTGGGGGTTCTCTGAGAGTGTTTGTGTTTGTTACTATTATTGATGGTGGTGGTGATGTGTGTGTGTGTGTGTGTGTGTGTGTGTGTGTATGAAGACAGAGAGAAAGAGAGAGGGTTTTTTTTTAAGTACTGTATATATTTTTAAGTACTGTATATTTTAGGTACTGTATATATTTTAAGGCTAGGAGCATTTAAAATCATAGCAGAATAAAAGTTAAATACCTAGAAACATAAAACGATGAAACCAAATAATCTCTAAAGGGCCTTTTAACTATGTTTCAGCCCAGAACGGGTCTCCAGAGCTCCTATTCCTATTCCCACCATCCCCAAGAACTTTCCGTTCTTAGGTGGTATCCAAGGCTCTGTCTATCCTTGCTCAAGCCCACCTACCACCTCTATCTCTAACAGGTAAACCTGTTGGTCCTACCGAGTCAGACAATCTATAGTCAGGAAAATGTTTTATGATTCTCTTCTGCAGTCTTGTTGGAGCTCACTTTCCCCATCTTCTTGTCTCAGGTCGGGTTCCCTGGGAAACAGACTCTGAGGTGGAAGCTGGCTGTTAAGAGATGTTTAGGAAGGGTTCCTGTAGAAGAATGAGGATGCAGAGGAGCTGCGAAGCATTTACTGGGGAACTCTGAGGCTGGGGGCCCTTCAGTGTTGTCCCATGGTACGGCAAGCGGGGTAGGCATTAGCCTTGCCTGGGCCAGGCAAGCTGTTTTTGGAAGCAGCTTTGCAGGAGGCAGCTACCTTTGGCCAAGGATTGATTCCTGGGATGAGAGCCTTCCACATCCGACACTCCAGCTCAAAGGATCATGACTACCTTGGTTCTGTAGGGAATCTGCATGAAGCACTGAAGCATCCCCTATGCCTTGCAATACGTCACCTGAACCCTGTTCAGTAGGTGGATTGGCAAGTCCTGGCTTTTCCCTGTGGCTCTTTATTTTAAATATGACATACTACCATGTGGCACACCAACTAGGAATGAGCTGTGGGCACCTGAGCTGTGACCAGGACACAGACCTGGAATCTGTACTGTGTTCCCCTTCTGCCCACTTGCTACCTCAGTTTCTTCCAGGTTCCCATCTTTTCCTAGCTCTTGGCTACCTGCCTCAAGTGTACGCTCACGTCTAAGACGGAATGACTTACTCTGCCTACCTAGTGCTGTACTGGGGCTCTCCTTAAAGACTCACGTACCTGTGAATTACTGCTACTCAAAACCGGCTTATAGTAAATGTGTTAGCTTTACTTGTTAGTCTAGACAAGATCATGCTGCAGATAAATACAAATAAACCCTAAAATTTCAATAGCTTAACACATGCAAGTTCATGTTCTCCTGAGAATCATCCTAGCGGTGGGCAACACACAGATCCAGCTGACTCCATTTGGTGGTCCCGCCACCTCAGTGTGTGGCTCTGTTATCACTGGGACGGGGATGGGCAAGTTCAGTGTCATGAAGGTCTTCTCATTGCCTTGGCCCAAAAGTGAGGCTTCTGTCCATAGTCTATGGA